GTTAGCTCTATATTTTTTTCAACAAGATTAAAAGCAGTTTATAAGGAGGAGGGATTTTCAATAACAAAAAGTTACAATCGAGAAATACATAGTTTAACTTTGAAGTAAAAGCCCTCCATAGATGATATTACATTTGCTTATAAAAACATGCAAGGAAAACAAGAATTAGCAAGATGGTTCTATCTTCCTATCACCATTTCCACGGCTTTTGCATTTCAAGATGAAGAAAGAAGCCTTTTCTTTATGTAGAAGGCTCCCTGTGTAATGCTCAGTCTAGATTTCAACATTATCCAAAATACTTTCACAACTGGTTCCTCATTTCAGATATTACTCTAAATTAAAAAGAATAAGGAAACCAAGATGGGAGTGTATGTGCAGGATGATCCCTCTACCTTTTCACTCATTAATGCTGAAGTTAGACTGAAAATATCTGAATAGGACTCAAGTCAGTTGCATTTCAGGATTTTCAAAGGCCTTCTGAAACTTAGCATCCATTTGGTCTAATATCTATTTTATGACAGTGGCTAGTTAGATGCTTTGAGTTAGTCCATTAATGCTTTTGTTGCCCCTCACGTACCCTTCAGAAATATTGCAAATGCATTTATTTAGCTGCCATGACCAAAATCCCTGACAGAACTGATTCTCCATTAATTCAACTGATTCACTTTAAATTCCTTTTAAGGGAAAAGTTGACATCATACCCCATAGTAGTAAATTCCAAAAATTCTATGTTGTGTAGAGAAACATTCCTTTCTGTTGCTCCTGAATTTACTACCAGTCAGTTTCATGGAAAGAGTGAAAATTCTAGTAATGTGACGATGAGCCATAGTAATGGTAAGAAGACATATTTCTCCATATTGTACATGATTTTATATACTCCTCCCAGAGTTACTGAGAGTTGGGTGGCATGCAAATTAAATCAATTATTAGCTTCCTTGATCTGCTTGATTCACTGTATTGGATTACATTCCATTATTTTCGGTATACCTCTGCTAGCATGCTAAGCATTTTGTAGACTGTCTTGAAGGATATCAGAATTAGGCAAGCACTATGAGATTCTTCTCAGACTTTTTTATTAATACATTGAATCTCTCCTCACAAAGGAGGTATCCAACTGCTTTTTTCTAAATCTTTTGTTGTTCCTGTTCTTTTGGGACTCTCTGAAAACAATTTTTTGAATTTTATTTGTAATCCTCTTAACTTCTGCATTAAATTTGCTTATTTTGCTCACAAACAATGTAATTCTATGTATTTATTTAAGTTATACGGCTGCCTAATTCATGATTATGACTTTGGGTATTTTAAAAGTTAAAAACAGAACAATGGGGGAAAAAAGCCCCATAACTAGCAATCAAGGTATCTGCAAGTATTCACAATGAAATCTTAGTGGGAAATGCTCATAAGTTAAGTGGATATAAAATTGTTTGCTTTCAGTGAGCTAACTAAAAGTTTACTTGACTCCTTTCAGAGTCTGAAACAATGAACAATAACACTCCTTTAGTCAAATTTTGGTCTTTATATTTTATAAAATTTAAATGTTCACTTTTCAGCTCGGCAACTTTATATTTTAGAAATTAAATTTCTGCAGTAGAATTTAACATAGAATTATTCTTTTTTCAATGCTGTGAGTTTCATAAACTGTTGTAATTGCAGATCTTCATGGTGGCATTAAAATATAAGAAGGAAGGAAAATGACGGTTGATAAAATTCCTCTTCAAGGATCTCCTCTGCAGTGCCCATTAGTAACAGTAAGCCCTCAATAGCTTTCTTTGATCATTCCCAACTTTTTTTTTAAAGAAAGATAATTTTTTGTATCCTGACTTACAGCCTAAATGTTGGAGATGCGGATGTTTGGATGCTACTTATTATCATATCTGGTGGTCGTGTAAAAATATAAAAGCTTTTTGGATTAAGATATGGTGGAATATTCAAAGAATTTTTAGAAGGAGGGTAAAATTTACCCCACAATTGTTCTTGTTAGGTATTGTTATTGATTGTGATATTAAAGAGACCATATTGAAGTTAAATTTAATTACAGCCGCAAGGTTGTTAGTAGGGCAATGTTGGAAGAAGGAATCTTTGCCTACTTTGCAAGAGTGGTTTTTTAAAGTTTCTTATTTGGCGGAAATGGCAAAGATTTCGGCTTTTTTGAAGGATCAATCGCAAGAGAAGTATTTTGTGGTATGGAAAAAATGGATAGATTTTATACAATATAAGTTGGATATAAAAATATTATTTAGTTTTTCAATAACTTATATTTAAAATTTAAAATATTTTATAGACTTTATTCTTTTTTATTTTTATTTTTAATTTTTATTATATTTTCTTTTATCTTTTTCTTTTTTCTTTTTTTATTTTTTTTTCTTTAAAGCATTTTTCTTTTGGTATTTATCTTTTTCTACATATATATTATTGTTAATTATTTTATAATTTGTTCAATTGATGTATTTAGATTTATTTATGGTTTATATCTTTTTAAAGATTTTTTGAAGAAATTTCAATTAAGCCTGTATTCAGCTCTGGGAAGGTCGGGGGAGGGAATGGGAGGGTTGGGGAGGTTTGGGGAAGGGTTGTTTTGTTTTTGTAAAATTTTAAAAAATTTTCAGTTAAAAAAAAAAGATAATTTTTGGCTAGAAGGACAGGCAGAAAGGGTCAGAGAGAGAGAAAAAAGGAAGGAGGAATCAATAATTGGTGATTTGCCATATATCTTTGTCTTTCCTAACAGTCATTTTTAGTGCCCTGGACACTTTATAAAATTTAACACGGCCACAGAAATGTGGAAAATATTTTACTATCACTCTTGAAAGGATTTCGGTAAAAGAGGCCACACTCAAATTAATTTCAGCTAATATATGCCAGAGGATAACTTAATAGTGCTTGCAATATAATATTGTTCACAACAAATCTTGTAATTCCTACAATCATTTTAAAGATTTCAGGAGAAATCTGGGTGCAGCTTTGATATGCACCAACTTATCAAATTAGACCCTTAAAATGACAAATGTGTATGTGTTTGTGTGTGTGTGTGGAAGAGGTCAAAGAATGTTAATCTAAGCCAGTGCGGGAGATCCGGAAGAGAAAGTCCACATATTTTTAAAATTGCCCAAGTTGAGAAACACTGATCTAAACTAATCTTTCTGGGACAGCCTCATCCAGATTTGCTGGGCATGAAGGCCAAGGTTCTAGAAGCTGAAGTCCATAATCTGAATGGCACTCAATGGGGGAAGGTTGATCAAAACAAAGCTGAAGGAACCATAATATTTCTTCAAAAATGCCTGCTGTTTGAAAGATGGGAAAATGCTACTTGTCAATTTCAAGTCAATCGTATAAATGAACTGTTATGTCTGCCTGTACCTTATTATCACGGAAAGTTTTGTCACCAATTACCTTTACAACTGTCTAGCAATTTAGCAAAAATTATTACTTTAACAGGTTTTATTGGCTGCCATCCCATGCAGAACTCTCTTCATTGTAACAGCATCCCTGCTAGACCAGCATCTTGCTTCCCCCCCACCTCCAGTGGGTGAATAGAAATCTTCAAAAGCTGACAAGAGGAAGCAAAAACAGCTATTCCATGTGTGTGTGTATATGTGCGGGCGACCCTTAATCAGTTTATCAATATTTCATTCCAGTTGTCACATTCTACCTATCCCCCTTCCAATATTACTCTTTGGCACACTTTGCATATTTTTTCCCTTCAAATGTAATGTCCCACCCCCAATGTGACTGATTACTTGCTTGAAGATGACCACAATCAATAGGACCAAGCAAGAGATTACTTATCACAGCTCAGTCTAGGACTATTGGGGTGTATTGGAACTACTCCTCCAATAACCATGCCTCAGAGGATTCTGGGAATTCTCTTTCCCAGCCATCTAGCCTAGTGGGCAACCCGATAGTGTTTGTAGAAGGGGGAATTCTAGCAGGCAATTCAAGGGCTGCAAATCTGGTGGCTAATCTCTCTTGCCATCCCCAGAGCAAGGAGCAGCATTTCTCTGGAGCAGTATTTTTCAATCTCAGAAACTTTTTAAGTTCTGAGAACTTCAACTCCCAGAATTCTCCAACCAATATGTTAGCTGGGGAATTTTGGGATTAAAGTCTACATATCTTAAAGTTGTTGAGGTCGAGAAACAGAGCTCTAGAACTTCCTAGGTTAAGACCTGCCTTCTTATTAAAACGTAAGTTCATCTGCTAGAGCAAAACTATTAAAATGTCAGCAGAGCGTGAAAATATAAGCAAAAGCTTCCAGATTTCCCCTGCAAACCAACCACTGAATAAGCCAGTCGAGATTGAAGGTCAGGTTGCTTCCAAGAAAGCTCATACCATATATAAAATGGCAGCCTAAACAAGTTTCTCGCAATACCAAACACCTCCAGAACTTCGCCAGAGTTTCTTTCTGCCCCGAAAGGCACTTTTTAAAAATATTCCTCTTTCAACAATGCCATAAGCGCGATTAGCATCTCGAGTGAACCTCCTGAGGTTCCGGCGCTGGGTTCGCAGGGCGTGGCGCGGCTGTTCGGCTGAAAGAGGAGCCTCTGTTCCGGCCGGCGCCCCATTCAGCCTACGATTTGCCCGCAGCGGAGAGCGCCCTCGTTCCGGCGGTTCTTTTCCCCAAAACAGGCTCTCCTTACCAACCCCTTTTTCTTTCCTTGGCGGGCATCTCGGGCATCGCCCCTTCCCGAGAGCCCCAACGAGTTGAACCGTCGGGAGCAACAGGTGACTTCCAAACTCACCAAGAGTATCCACAGGCCGGGCCCTGCCATGCCGAGGTATCCAGCCATGGTCCAGCCCCCCCGTCCTGAACTTTCGCTCGTCCTGAACTCCGGGTCGACAGCAGCAGCAGCCCTTTCCGCTCACCTCTCCGGAAGGGAAATAGGGACTCTGCTTGGAGCGCCTGGACTCTTGGTGGCGACTTAACCCAACCCCTTTCCTGCTGGTGGGGAGTAATGAAAACAGAGCTGGCTATCAGCGGCGGCGGGGGGGGGGGGAACGGAGGAAGAGGAACAGCCTAGGGGCGGAGAATACCGGTCTGGAAAGGCACACCAGGTGGGTGCGGGAGCCCCGCCCGCCCTATGACTCGGGTTTCTGCGGGACTGGGGGAAGGACGGAGAGAAAAGGAGGGGAGGGAGTAGCTGTTGACATTTGCCTTTTAGGATGAAGGGCTGCATTTGCAGAAGGCGCCCCTTTTCTGGAGGCAAAGTGCGAGGCTGCTCCTACGAGCTTCAATGCAACCTGAGTTCCTGTTGCCTCCAGCACGGCCTCTTTGCTGCCTGGCGGCGTCCAACTCAACCCTTTTCCTCTTCCTCGCTTGATCCTGCTCTACTCTTGTCCCGGCGGAATTCCTGATCGCTTTCCTGTCTGCAATCGCCTTTACTTCCAGCTCGATAGGGAGTTTGGAACCGTCTTATTGCTTTACGTAGCTTTTATCCGCTTGCCATGAAGATACTCTCCTAACTCGACTCTCTCTTCATCACTGGGGTTTTTAAAGTAGGGACTGGACAGTCATTTATCTGAAATGGTATAGGATCGCCTGCTTGAGCAGGGGGCTGGACTAGAAGACCTCCAAGATCCCTTCCAGCTCTATCCTGATTCTGATTCTGTTGTCGGTCGATCCCACTGAAAACAATGTGCCCAGAGGATTCTGACCCAGACACGCAGCTCGCTCCTCTCCCTTCTGTCGCGAACCCAAACAGTCTCCGGGAAAACGGAGAGAGAAAAGGGAATTATAAAAGATGTTTTACAACTCGGCCGCTTCTTTTTCAGATTATTAGACGTCTTGGTAAACTATAGTTTGTAGTATCGGTTGCGGCTTGCAAAGATTAACACTTGTAGGCAGTGGCCAAATTGTTTACTTTCCCTTAGTGGGTTGATACTTCATAAGAGCAGGAATGATTAGTTTACCTACAATCCTTTAAAAATTCCATTTAAGCTTGTGGTTGTCATAAACTCAGGGCCGGATTAAAATACTTCTGCGGGTCAAAAGAGATGCACTTTCGACAGTGATAGGAGAACGGTAGATGCTTGTTAAAGTAATTTCTTTTAACTGCAAAGTGTAAGGACCCCGTCGCTGCTTTGGATTTGCTGTTAATAAATTCCTTTGAATGAATTGTGAGTGGAAAATGCTTCTCTTTTCATTCTCTGCCTGCCACTTTGAATATTAAAGTTTTCTTTCCGTAATTGCCTTTTTATCTTTTGATAGTAACACTTCCTTTGCTAAATGGTGTTTTCTCTGTTGTGTTAATGGTTTTTCCCCAAGGTATAATTCAGACCAATTTCTGTAGGAAAGCTGCTTCAGCTTATTGACCAAGGTTAATTCCTGCCTAATTTCAACACAATCATGTATTCCTTAAGTTCATCCAGTAAGGCGTGTTTTGATACTAATACTGTTGTAAGGATGAACAGAAGTGAGAACATAACAGAATAATAGAATTGGAAGGGACATTGGTGGTCTTCTAGTCCAACCCACTGCTCAACAGGAGACTGTATACCATTCCAGACAAGTTGCTGTCCAGTTTCTTCTTAAAATCTCCCAGTGATGGAGCACCCACAACTTCTGAAGGCAAGCTATTCCACTGGTTCTCATTGTTGGGAAATTTCTCTTTAGTTCTAGGTTGCTTCTCTCCTTGATTAGTTGATCAAGTGATCATGACCAAAGTAGATCTAAAAAAAGGGAGAGGTTTACAAAGATAGTTTTTTTTATTAAAAAAATGCAGAATAGACTATGGCTTTTGTTCCTTCTTTACCTGACACTGGTGATAAAATCTCAGGTCCAAAAAGGTTTTGCCCATCATACAAACCAAACAGTACATTCAAAAATATATATTGATGACCATTATATTGATGGCAAATAAATTTGTACATGCAGGTTTTGCAAACTTTTATTAATCAACAACTCAGTTATGTGAAGGCATTTCTGTAGAATGCATTTGAAGATATCTTTGTTGTGATTATGGCACTGATACATACACAGTTGGTACAATTGGTGTGCAGAACTTTTTTGCAGGCCAAAAAGAACAAGATATATTGAGATTGTTGAATAAAATTAAAAATTGTTGGGCAAAAAACTTGAAGTCATAAAGGGCTAGAGTATCTGAGGTGCAAAAATTCAATTGATGGATCATGTGAAGTCTTTTGCCATCTAGAAATTATTTGGGATTATATAACCTAGATAATAGTAATCCTAGTTAACCCTAGATTTAGAACATATATTACATTAAGCCAAAACCATGCAAATCACAATGGTGTAATGGAATTTTTGAACCCATTTGTAAACCACATAATTATTTTATAAACTTGGGTTTTGTGGGTGGGTTTTAAACTGGGAATTTTGTGCAAATCTAGCCATTTGTGATTAACTATAATTATGTAAACTGTGTTTGGCTGGTTAGAACCCTGAAGTGAGACACTGCTTTTCAGTAGTGGTGCTAAATTTTTTATATTTTGTTACAAATTGTGCTACACACACACACACACACACACACACACACACACTTTGAACAACTGTACAAAGTTTTTCTTTGCAGCATCCATCCTTAAAACTTAGAAACAATATATTTATTGGATGAAAAATCAGAAACAAGCTGTAACCTGCCAAGCAATTATTTCTGTTAACAGGACTTGCTTAGACTTGTTACGATGTTTCTAATGTGGATTCTTTTTAAGGGTGTAGCAGTACCCTGGTTCTTGGACAAGAGATTTTAAAGGAGAGAGAAAGAAAAAACAGTGGTGCTAGTTCTTCCAACTGGAAACATATGAAAACATAAATTTGTTCTTATGAATGGAAAGGTTTGGATCAGTTTGGTTTATTATGGATACTATGCTTCTACATTCCTGCTCCCAAATCAGTATCCAGCTTCTGTCCCTACTGTCTTCCTCACTATGACTCAGATTATGGATGAAGAAAAAGATTTAGAAAGAGAACCACGTGGTGTTGCAATTTAATGAAGAGGGTAGAATCTTGCAGAGAATTGGGACCAATGGTTGTAAGTGTGAAGTGGAGAGCTGATCAAATGCCTTTTGGGGAACACTGTCTTCCACTAGGGAACACTGCTTACTAACATGACCATGAATGAATATATATTGAAGTCATTGTGGCAAAATTACAATGTCATTTACTGTAGAACAGGTTGCTCAATGTTCTTGGAGAGATGGAATGAAATATTATTTTGACGTGGGAGTCATATTTGACTGACAGGCCTTTGGTGGGGCTCCATTTGTTATCTCTGGATGACAAATTGCAATATCATCCTGGTAGTCTAGACAGAACCGCTAGACAAGAGAAATACAAACAGCTACTGGCCTGCTCTTTGTAGATATAATGTTATATCAATGTACATACTTACCTATATCAAGGACATATGTCTTTAAAGTCAAGCTTAGTTCCTAATAATTAAGATTTATTTGATAATGGCTATGGGCTCATGGCAGTGTATATGGAACTGCCCTCTATTTTTTCTCGTATAACACCTTTGCCAGATATATTGAGCTGAAAAAAACCGATTGCTCCAAAGTCATCAGTGGGCTTTCAGGGCTGAAAGTAGACTCAAATCTGATTTTCCCAATTTTAGTCAAAATCTTGTTAGATGTGATTGATGCCAATATTCCAGCCCACTTCTTGGATTGGTAGAAGTTCAAGGGAATTTAAGGAAACATCATCCAATCCTGTAAATTTCCCTATGTGAAAAAAATTGCTCCGATATATAGGTTTCAGGGATGTCTAGTTTTATTGCTGGAAACCAATCCAAATCATCCCAGAACTACGGTAAGTCTAATTCACTGATCTGTCAACTCCAGAAGTTGTATTAGATTCATAGGCCACTGAAGAGGGAGGTGTTCCCTGCCTTGATCTATACATTTCATTTTACTCCTTGCCTGAATCTCATCTTGTGCCAAATGAGGACATGTAACACCAGGATTGCTTCTGCATTTCATTTGTGTGCTTGTTTTTGTTCTTTTCAAATGTTTGTTGATAATTTTTAAAAAATGAATTCTAAAATGTATTTAAAAATAAGTGTAAATATATCTATGCCCTTGCACTTTAATGATTCAATGATAAGAATCATTTGCACAATGATTAAGCCTTATTTTCCAGTATCTATTGTGTCTCAACTAAAGGCTTGATGGTGATGTCATGCAGTTGAATATTGAAAAAGCAATTCTTACTTGTGAAACTTTCTTAGACTTCATTCACAAATTCCATTCCCAGGTTGAGCTGACTAAGCCAAAGAAAACACATTAATCATGCACAGGCCTCTATATACAATTAACTGGTTTACAAGTTTGGGAAGACTCTACCTTGACTGAGTCATTTATTATTTGATTCTGCTCAGTTTGAAATCAGGGATTACTTTGGGATAAAGTTCTAACCTAATATATTTTGAAAGTTCTGCCTTCCTAGCTGATTAAAGAATTTTGGTTGTTTTATATTGTTCCTCTTTTAACCACACTTAAATGCAAATAGATGGGGAAGAAATGGAGGTAGTGACAGATTTTATTTTTCTGGGCTCAAAGATCACCTCAGTTGGGGATTGCAGCCAAGAAATTAAAAGACGCTTGCTCCTGGGGAGGAAAGCTATGTCAAATCTAGACAGCATACTAAAGAGCAGAGACATCACCCTGCCAACAAAAGTGCGTATAGTCCAGGCCATGGTTTTCCCAGTTGCAATGTATGGCTGTGAAAGCTGGACCATAAGAAAGGCTGAGCGCCAAAGAATTGAGGCCTTTGAACTATGGTGCTGGAGAAGACTCCTGCAAGTCCTTTGGACTGCAAGGCAATCAAACTGGTCAGTCCTAGAGAAGATCAACCCCGACTGCTCTTTAGAAGGCCAGATCCTGAAGTTGAAACTCAAATACTTTGGCCACCTAATGAGAAGGAAGGACTCACTGGAGAAGGGCCTAATGCTGGGAAAGATTGAGGGCAATAGAAGAAGGGGACGACAGAGAATGAGATGGCTGGATGGAGTCACTGAAGCAGTAGGTGTGAACTTAAATGGACTCCAGAAGATGGTAGAGGACAGGAAGACCTGGAGGAACGTTGTCCATGGGGTCGCGATGGGTTGGACACGACTTCGCAATTAACAACAACAAAAATGCATTTAATTCTGCTTGCATTGTTTTTAAGGTTACTTTGAGTCCTGAAAACACATGCACATGTCTTTATTTGCTCTGCAAAACAATGACAGTATTCGTAGCATGATTGACTGACAGTAGTATAACAATAAAGCATGGAGAAACAACATTTTGGGAGGTGGGGAGGCCACAGATATTTGCCATTAAAGGCCATATACAATAATGTTACTCAAGAGGGAAGATCTAAAGTTTTTGACTCATATGGATTCACTGGAGAAAACATTGAAAGGCAGTTTCAAAGGTAAAAATAGTGTTGTCTTTTAAATAGTACATAGCAAAGATATCTAATCAATAACAAAACAAAGTTGAAAAGCACCCTAAAATAAAACTATTAACAAAATGATATATAATCCATTCCTCTGCTCAGTTCTTATACTGAACAGACACCAAAATTAAGTTAATGGCCCTTGAATTTTGGTGGCACAGTCTTCTTGAGTGGTGGGATAGGTTTGGGATGCCACAGTAATACGAGTCAGGCCTTATAGGAGGCCTGCAGATTGCCTGCTCCTGTATAAAAGTGAAGCTTGAAAGCTTGCTACTACTATATATGAATTCCTTAATGAAAATAATGCAGCTATAAAGCATGCATAAAATATTGACAATATTTGGACTGGTGATGCTTCATTATTTCTATAAAGTTATGAAAATATATAATTTGTGAATGCTACATGTGCATGATGAATTACAATGAAGAGCCCTGGTGGCGTAGTGGTTAGAATGTAATATTGCAGGCAAATTCTGTCTGCAGCCTGGAGTTCAATCCTGATGAGGTTCAAAGTTGACTCAGCCTTCCACCTTCTGAAGTTGGTAAAATGAGGACCCAGATTGTTTGGGGCAATATTCTGACATTGTCAACCACCCAGAGAGTGCTGTAAAGTGCTATGGGGTGGTATATAAGTGGTATTACTACTGCTAGGATGAATTACCAGCCAAACTATTCCAATTCAGTGTCTTTCAGTTGGGTTGGTCCTAGTTACT